CAAACCAGTGAGGGCCGAACTAGTACTCAGGTGGGTGACCACTGGGGAATCCTCGGTGTTGTATGTTTTTTATTTTTATTTTTTATTAACCAGTAAATGGACTTCACTTTTTTCCAGGTCCTTGTCCCTCGTATGCGCCAGCCAGGCCATTTCACTACTTGGGAGGGCCCTGTGCATAGTGGAGCTGGACGCCCGCCAGAACGGACGCCAGGGTCCCGAACACGACGGTGGCGACGAAGATGACGAGCCCGATCCAAAAGGTCCAGTACTGCGCCGTGTTGCGGCTGTCGCGCCAGATGGTGGTCCAGTTGCGCGGCGGGTCCAGGTACTCGGAGGCCAGGTCGAGCAGGCGGTCGTGGTAGAAAGTGAAGGACCGGAGCTTCTGCCGTCGCCGGGGTTCCCAGTCGACGTCCTCGGGGTGGTCATCCGCATCGCGTCGGTCTGATAATGCAAGCTGGGTTTCTTTGGACAGGAGGGGCTGCGTGTCGTAGTCGCCGGGAGGCAGGAGGAGGTAGAGACTTTTAAGTGTCTCCTCGATCACTTCGAGCGGCATGGGGAAGAAGGGCGGCGGTGTTTCCGCCGGCGTCGCCCCTGTCGTTGTTTGTCTACCTGCTGTTGCCGGCGCTGTTGTTGTTGTCGTCGCCGCTGCTGCTGCCGTTGTCGGTATGCCTGCTGTTGTTGGTGCCGTTGGCGTCGTAGCCGGTATCTCTGGCGCTTTCCCCAAGCCATCAGCGGGCTGTTGGGTCTGGACGGGAGGTGCGGCCATGGGGGCGGCGGGTTGGGCACCATCAGCGGCAGCGTTCCCTTGGCTGATGGCATCTGCGGCGATATCCTCGTCTCTATCGCCGGTGACCGGGGGAGATATTGGTGTTGTGGGTGCGGGTCCCTCCTGCGGTGAGCCGGCCGCTTGGGTGTCGGCTGCTTGACTTTCATGCAGCGTACTCGTGAGAGGAGGCATGCTTACAGTAGTTGTCAGTGTCTCGCGAGGCGCGTAAGTCCTATTGGCTGTTTCATCCACAGCGACGGCGGGCACTCCAGGGGCCAGAGGAGCCGTGGCGGTGGTTTCTGCACTCAAGATCTGCTCAGGGAACAAGGTACCAGTTCCCAGAGGTCTTGGGGCGACAGGCTGTGGAGGGTGACTGTCGGGGGAGTCGGGATTCGCCGGGTTCACAGCAACAGCTGCCGTCTCGGCGGCCGGACTGGGCGCCGGTGCCGCGCGTTGAGGCAAGTCCCCTAGCTCTATGTGTGCCTCTGGCCCTTCGGCCGGTTGAGCATCGGCAACGGCTGGGGCGGCGGCAGGCCTAGAGTCTCTTCGTTTAAACAGCCTTGTGATAAAATCAAGTGGTCGCCGGGCAGGGGAGCTAGGCTCTACCACTGTCCCTGGTGCTGTTTCTATTGCAGTTTCTGGTTCCGTCCCTGGTACCGTGGTCTGTGCCGTGGCCGTATCGTGGCCGGTGCTGTATTTGGTTCCGGGGCATTCGCCTGCATGGTGTCACCATCAGCGGCCTCCTCGGGCGGCGCCGCCGGGTCCTGGCCCCCGTCCGGCTCCGGCTGCCCCTGCCTCCCCTTGGCCATGTTGTACGCATCTATAAGCCACCAGTGGTAGCTGAAGAGCAGCAAGGTCCTGATGGATCCGGTGCCCAGCCGAGACCTCCGGGCTTGTTCGGTGCCCTGGACCAGCACCAGGTGCTCGTCGAGGTACGACCCCCACTTCAGCTTTATGTTGGTGAGCCGCCTCAGGTTCGCCGCCGTCAGCGGCGGCCGCAGGCGGGCCTCGATGGTCGCGCTCTCGCTGAGCGCCTCCGCCGATAGCGGCGGGACCGCGGGCCCGCCCTGCTGGCTGGGCATCGGGTAGAACGCGCCCCTGACGGAGGCGCGGAGCTTGACGTCTCGGCCGGCCCAGTTTGGCCGCATGGATCGCCGGTTGATCATCGGCCAGAGGGAGATGGCGAAATGAGCTGCTCTGACAAAGGGATAGAAGGGACCGGAAGGCGTCGTTGTTATCGTGTAATTCCTGGAATTTGACCCAGCTCGAGAGCATTAGGCTCCAGGACTCTTTGAGGTTCCAAGGATACGGCTTGTCCGGAGAATACATGTTGACGTAGCGGTCCAGCTGAATGTACAGTGGGCTGGTTTTGAGAAGTTTCCCCTCCAGTGGTCTGTATATCCGCTTTCTCAACAGGTCCATGTGTCTCCGAGCGTCTTCCATGCCGGCCTGCCAGTGCAGAGGGGCGGTCGACAGGCGTTGGCGGCAAAGTTCGAGTTGCTCGTACTCGGCCCATTTTGTCTTTTCGAACTCATGCCATTCAGAACCGAAGAGGTAGCAGTCCAGGTCATCATTCCGGTACGAATTTCTCCATCGTTCGAGGCTCGCTCGGAGTGCTTCGGCCGAAGGGCTGTTGGGGGTCGTGGCAGAGTCTTCTGGGGAAACAGTTGACATATCTCGTAAAGAAATTGCGCAGGATGAATCCGGCGACCTATGGGTAAAACGTGGCTTAGCAGATGTTTCTTCTTGCGACGGCTTAAGGTAAATCACCGCGAAACAGGGCATCACACCACCTTTTCTGGCCGCGCCGCGCCTCCCTTCCAACGGGAAAGCGGTCCACCGCGCTGTGCTACACAGGGGGGATTATCGGATTTGCGCAAGCGAAGACGGCCTGCAATATAAGGTTCCTTTGGGTAATTATCAAACCAGCTAGGCTACGTCCTAGGAGAGAGAATTGGCAAACGAAACTGCCCAAAAAAATTGACGGTTTTTGCTGGTTAATCCCTAAGCAATCTGAGCTCAATAGCACTTGAGGAAATACTGCACATGGCAGATCCGATGGGAAGCCGGGTGACCAGCTGGCAGGATGGAGGTCAGGCTGGAAGGGGGGCGGGCCGGGCTGCTTGAGGCCGGTGGCGTCGCCATGCCTGCCCACCCAGCCCGGTCAGCTCATCCATTAGTGTCAGGCTGCCTCCCCGGCATATTGCTGCGCCGTGCTGCCTGTCGACCCAAGCCACTCACAGGCTGCAATTTTCTCCATGTGCAGAAAAAGCTGAAAAGGCAGCATTTCCTGCCGTTCCCCTCCAGCCCACGTTGGTTCCACAACTTGAGCACACCTCAAAAAAACCATGGGTGACACGAGCATCGCCGGCCCAGAGGGCACCCTTTTCGGGGCGATCGGCGCAGTCTTGGGTTACATCGGCGCCGAAGCCGTTATGGTACAGTCCATCGAACAGCTCCTGTGGCCTCAGCGCTCCTTTTCACATTTCACGTTCGCCTCGCTGCCTAAGCTGGCCCTCCTCCTCCCCATGGGCGGCCCTCTGCACAAGGCCGCCCTTCTGATGCTCGATAGCGCTTCCGAACACGGCCTTTTCAGGGGCAAAAATTTGGGCCACATGCTGGGCACCCCCTTTTTCCCGCACCTGGCGTGGACCTATACGGTGCATGGCAACGACGGCGCCGCCAAGTCTGGGCCGCAATCTCTGCGGAACTGCCTCTGGGCGCGCGCCATCTCTCGGCTCCCAACCCCGACCTTGGACGACGCGAAGCATTCTGGCCTGGGGCCGAACAGCGGCTCCGCTGCCGAGGAGGGCGTCACCGCCCGTCGACCTGCTGCGCCCGTTCGCTCGATGGTCGCGGTCAGCCACCTGACGCTGGCGCGGCCGACGGCGGCCGACCTCGCGTCTGGAAACCTGCCGTTCGTGTCAGAGGGCACCGGGTCCCCGAACCTCCGCGTCATTTTGGCATTGGTTGCCACGGAGTTTTCGGCACTACTAGTGGCCGTCGGGGTCGCCGCCGCCTTCCGGACGGCCTGGGCCCTGCTCTGGGTCGCGCCCCTGATGCTGCGGCTTGCGAGCGCCTTTCTCGCCCTGCGGCGCGAGCCGCTCGAATCCCTGGCCGCCGTCGCGCCCGACGCTCCCGTCCGCGACTTCGAGGTGCACTGCCCCACGCAGTCCGGGTCCGGCTTCCTGCTCATCACGGGCGCCCCCGCGGTCGTGAACCAGTTTATGCTCCACTACGGCCACCCGGTGCGCAGCCGGCCGCGGGAGCTGGCACAGTTTGCCATCGTCGTCGCCTTGGGCCTCTTCTTCCCCGTTAGCCTTTTCTGCTCGCTCCTCTGGATGCAGCCGGCGGAGCTGCAGTACGTCTGGCTGTGCTACCAGCTCTACGTCGTCCTGGCCATGTATACGGCCCGCTACGCGACCGACGCCCGCGACGCCGCCGACACGGCAACGCGCCTCGCCCGTTGCTTCGGGGCCGGCGGCGGCCAGGGCGCGCTTCTGTTTGGTCATAGGAGAGGCGGCGCCAGGACGGTCAAGGCGAGCCTGGCTGTGACCTATCATCTCCGGTATGCGGACGGGCAGGAGAGAATGGCGGAGCTTCTCCGTCGAATAGATCCGGTAGTTCTCGCCCCGTCGAAGGCTCTGGTCACCGTCGCACACTCACCCTCGCCCTCGGCGTCTAACAGCGGATGAGAACTTGGACGTGTCTATTGCAATAGCTGTGCGCATGTATTTTTGCTGGCAAGTATAAACTCAAGTATGAAATCTTCTACATTAGGCCAGGTAAGGCTACGATTGAGCAATACTATTAAAGTTTGGTTTAGAGAACAATGAGTAATGTGCTGTGAGATGCGCTACTCCATGGGTACACACCCGATATTTATAGACAGAATTATTTTGCTTTTAACTATGGAAAATGCTCATGCCGGTGAACCGAACCAAGCAAGGCTTAACTAGACAAGGACACCTTTGAACTCTTGGAAGGACCCCGTGGCCTCGGATTTCCACGTACAAAAACCCGCACGCCTCTAGCAGTACTGCACCCTATCCTCTCCTGGATCGTCTGGACGGACAATGACACCCAAGGTCGTCGCGCGTCTGTCGTCATGCTCGATCGTGAACCGGCCCAGCACGATGATCCGTATATCCTCATCCTCTGCTCTTTTGGCCAAGGCCTGCATTGACCTGATGGGGTCCGGGGCAGCCTGATTCAGCGCGTCGCGCGCTCGCGGCTGGAAAAGGTTGACGCCGTCAAGAGGGCCCTTGTCCATGTGGACTGAGCATGTGGGCGAGTTTGCAAAGGTTCCATGTATTTCCTGCAGCTCCTCCTCGCACTCGTCGTCGGTTTGCACCCCCTCGGCCGACGGCGGAGCCCTCCTCCGCGACGGCGAGGAGTTTCGCAGCAGCTCCAGGACGTCGGCCGGGCCGACTGAGCTGCCTTGCAGGTGCATCTCGGCGTCGCTGCCCGTCTCGAACCACGCCTTCGTGCGGAACCTGTAGTCCTTCACCTCCCGGATGTTGTAGAAGTCCTTGGGCACAAGCTTGGTGAGATCGTACGGTGCTCTAACTCGCCCGCGCCTGTAGCCATGGCCGGGGTCGGAAGCCGCTGGCTCAGGCACACGTTCGCCAAATAAAGGTTCGAGCCCCAGCAAAGAACCGGCCAATTCAATGGCTTCCAACACCAGCAGATAGAACTCAAACAAACCCAAAACAAGCCCGTTAGAAAGCCTGCTGTTAGGATTTATGAATATCGCCTTCTTCTCCCAAAACCAGCGGTATTGTTGAAGGTACGGTTGATTGAAATCGAAAGGCTGTGAGCGTTGGAAGGGGCGGTGTTTTGTGATTCGGATCTTTTGTTGGCGAACGCGCCTGGTAGGCAGTTTGTCCTTGATCGGCAGATCGAAATGCCAAGAGGCAAACTCGCGAGGTAGTTGGACCTGGTGGACGAAGGCCTGTGCGGTGAAAGGCGACTTGCCGTTGATCTCCTTCCAGAACTCCCGCTCCAGCTTCTCCAAGCCATGGCGATGATCCAGCTTCAGGCTGAAGACCTGCATGATGCCGCACACCTCGTTCTCTCTGTTCGACACCGTGCGGTGCGGCACCACGCCGAGCAGTGCGAGCGGGTTGAGAGCGCTCAGGGCTCGATGCCCGAGTAGCGGAGATTGCCGTAGAACGTGTAGCTCTGGGGGCCGTGGAGCAGCGTGTCGACAAGGTTCATGATGGTCTGCAGCATCACAACCTCTGATTCACCGCCAGGCGACGCCACGATGGAGACGCTGTTGCCGGACCTGGACAGCACCTCGGCGTCTTTGCGCAAGAAGGCCTCCTGGAGCGTCCACAGCGAGCTGAACCACTTGGACTCGAGGAGCTTCCTGAACCCTTCGGGCCCCTCGGGCCTCAGCTGCTCAGAGTGTCGATATTTTGCCGCAGGCCCGTCGTCGAGAGGTCGTGGAGCCAGATGTGCGCCTTCTGCGCCCCCTTGAATATCCCCACCTAGTGGCCGATCTCATCAGCGAGCTCGTCCTGCAAGACCCGGTCCGGAATCTTGTAAGACCCGTCGGGGCCTGGGGGATGCAGGCGACGTCGACCCACACGAAGTCGGCATCCCTCCCGACGACCTTGAGGATGCGTCTGAACAGGTCACTGCTGAACCCGCCCTCGCTTTCCGTCCTGATGCTTGAGATTTTCCATTGCAGGCCCCTGACGTTAATCTAGGTCCCTTCCTCGTCTTTGTTGGCGCGAAAGCGACCCCAAGTGTAAGAGATGATGGTGTACTTGGGGTCGCGGACGGAGCCGTACGAGCGGCAGCCGTCCCTCCATGCGAGTGTGGCCCGCCCAGTCGGACAGCCGGCTACAGTACCCGCGCTCCCTCTTGACCGGTTGACGGAAGCAGGATGTTCTGGTGGTACAAGAAGAGGGGCTTGGCTTGGTTACTTTTATCCCGCCCGGTTACATTGAGGCTTGCCGCGATTACAAAAAGGCAGTGGCCTGCGGTAAAGGCAGCCACTTGGCTTGAAGTTCGGGTGGTACAGCATGAAATAACGTCAGTCTGAGCGAGAAGGCATTCGAGAAACCGCCCGAGGCCGTCGTTGTGTCACATGGTCACCATCATCGTCCGACCTTTCTTCGATGTTTATTGGATGGAAGATGAAGGGCGGGGTGTGATGCCAAGTCAAGTGCCAATGAGAAGGCAGGGCATGTGATGTGTGGTGAGGTGGCACTGTGGCAAAGCTCGTGGCTGCAGTCTGGCTTTTGCCAACACATGTAAAGCAATCACAGCCTTCCCCCAGCCTTTGGAGCATACCGGTCTTTGCTTTATGGCAGCCACACACTCGCCCATCTATGCCCAACAGCCGCCTCATTGAACCACAAGAAGCCTCTGTCCTATATATATTGCCTCCTGTTCCCCAAATACAATGCCGTCCATTCCCGCAGAGGCCATGTCGCTATGGGCCTCTATCTGGCGACCAGCGAGCCCCGAAAGAATGGCCGAAAACAGCCTCATTGCCGCGTTTGGCGCCGTCTTGGGTTATATTGGGGCCGAAGCTGCCACAAACGTCATCTTTGAGCGTCTCCTCTGGCCTCAACGCTTCTACTCCAACTTTGGCCGCGAATCCCTCCCCTTTTTGGCCCTCTGCCTGCCCATGGGTGGCCCTCTGCACAAAGCCGCCCTCAACACCTTGGACATTATGTTTTTGCACGGCCTATTTAATGGTGCTGGGCAGGGACACATGCTTAGCACTTCATTCTTCCGTCGACTGGACTGGCGTTACACCATGCACGCTGGAGTAGGCGAGGGAGCTGAGCTATCGCACAACGATGAGCTGCGAAACTGCCTATGGGCTCGTGTCCTAGCCGCCATGCCCTTTCCTGCGCCGTCGGTCAGGCCGCCGCCCCAAAACGCAGAGGTGGTACAGGCCGACAGCGCAGAGAGGGGCGCCGCCGCACCTGCCCCTATCCCGGTGACCACCGCCACACCGGCGAGTCCATCACCACCAAAACCGCCCCCGCTGAGGGCCCAGACCTTTGTCGGCCACCTCACCCTCTCACGGCCCAGTCTTGAAGACCACAGGAGCAAGGCTCTGCCCTTCGTGGGCGAGTCCTGCGGCCGCCCGGGCCCGCGGGTCCTGCTAGCCATCTGCACCGCCGAGTCGTCCGCGGTCGTCGCCGCGGTCGCAGTCGCGGCTTGCTACCACACCGCCTGGGCGGTCCTGTGGCTCGCACCGCTCGCGCTGCGGCTGCTAAGCGCCGTCTTCGCCCTGGACCGCGAGCCCCTGGCCCCAAGCACGCGGCGGCGCCCCCACGCTCCCGACGAGGCCGAGTACGAGCCCGCCCTCGACTTTGAAATCTCTTGCCCGCAGTCCGTCGGCGGGTTCATGGTGCTGACGGGCCCGCCTTCTCTGGTCCTGCAGTTTATGCGCCACTATGGCCACCCGGTGCGGAACCGAAGCCTTGAGGTTATCCAGTTGATCATTATTGTAACCTTTGCCGCCCTTTTCCCCATTGGCCTTTTCTGCTCCGCCATGTGGATGGAGCCCGACGTCCAGTACGCTTGGTGCGGGTACCAGCTTTACGTGGCTGTATTTATGCACGTGGCGCGCTATTCGTCGGCGGGACACACCTCGACTACCGAAGCCGGCCTCGCGATGTGTCTTCGAAGGAGCGGCTCGGTCCTCTTTGGGAGCGCGAGAGACGACCCGGGCCTTGTCAAGGCCAGCGTTAATGTTGGGTACTATAGTCGATATGGCGAGGGGAAGAAGGAGATGGAGAAGCTACTGAATAGGTGTGGGACCAAGATTTCTCAGAAGGGCTAACAGACTACGCAGGGTGTCGGGTCGTGGGAACTTCCCTCTTATGATGGATCTGTTCTCGGACGCGCAGGCCGGATAAAAGCAACGACAAAAGTGGGTGTCTTGGAATTTGCGATACACGTCTTTTTCTCTCTCTCTTTTTACAAACTCGCATCTTTTTACTTCTCGGTCCTTTCTCTATCTACTTATCTCGTCTTCTCAACTGTTAAAGGCGGAGTGCATAGCTAAATTCCTTACCTTGACACTCTTTATTTACCCATACAATGGACAATCGCGCTTTATAAATCTGGGAGGTTTCGTGAAGAAATGGTTCCCCTCGCTATGGAAAGTCAAAGAAAACGGCACGATGGCAGCCAGGCCTTATACCATACGGCAGCCTATTTTGTCGTATTAAATGCCTAACCGTGGCGTCTGCTTACTGACAGGAGCCCTTGCCTGAGGCCTCGACACGCGGGGCCACCTTATTGGTGGCCTTTCTAAGTATTTAGGGCCACTGGTAGCCCCTCGATGGCCACTGTTGAATGTAGCCTTTGATTCCTCGCTGTCACTGCCTTTTGCACCTCCCTCATTTGTAGCACAACAGCCATTTCGGTACCTAGTTACCTTCTCTCGCCCAGAAGGCGCATGATCCATTTCAAACATTATGTCCCCAAGTGCAACTCCAATACCGCCCCCGCCACCACCAGCACCAGTTAATGTATGGGCGGATAGAATATGCATCAAGGGCGAACCATTGATCCAAGAGCTTCGCTGGCCACACCGCCTTCTCCATGTCGACACAATGACATCGCACGTCAGGACCGGCGCCGACACCTACAATGACGTCGTCGCACCGCGGTACAATGTGCTCAGCTACACCTGGGGCTACTACCAGGACCGATCAAAGACTCCTGGGCCAGCCCTTGACGTACGTGGGGTTGACTGGCCTATACCGCCCATTCTAAAGAAACACTTTACCGTCGCCGCCTTCCAAAAGGCCATCCAGCGGGCAACATCGTGCTTCGACAACCATGGGGTCAGCACAGGGCGCTGCGATTGGTTGTGGGTGGACGTCGCGTGCATCCCACAGGAGCACGAGGGGGAAGACGCAGAAGCCAAGGAGCTGCGCCAGCAGGAGATCGCGAAGCAGGTCGAGATCTTCAAACGCGCTGACACGGCCTTTGCTTGGCTGTGCTCCCTCCGGAAGCCGAAGGGGAGTTCCCGTGGCCGTCGCAGGCCCCGTAGCCACCGTGCCAAGACGCGTCGCTTCCGCCGTCGCAGCCTGCATCGCCGCCGCCGCCTTCTGCGTCAAGAGTTGCCCCTCGTAACACTCTTGGAGATCGTGCGGTTTGTCAACCGCCACGTCGGCGGGTTTCCGGACAAGCGTGCGGCCAAACAATTCCTGCATAAGCTAGATATGCGCTCGGAAAGGCTCTCGGCCTGGCAGAGCAGCATCCTAGAACACCCGTGGTTTAAATCCCTATGGACGCTTCAAGAAATGGTGCTTCGCCCAAATGCCCATTGTCTGTTCGAAGATGGCGTCCTCCGGCTTCCCATGGATGGACCTTTCAACTTTCATAACATGAACCATGACATGGGTACCCTGAGCGACATCTTCGTACCGCCAAATACGATGATTCAGCGTCTTCTTTCGGACGCCGAAACGATGTTTGCCCAGAGGTGCCGACGACGTGGCGGAGTCCCCGCTACAAAAGCAATCAAAGCGGGGCGAGCAGTAACGAGCAAAATTTTCGAACGTTTCTCAAAACTGTTCGCGCTGATGGACGCCAAAGGCCTGGACTGCCTTGGCATCGAGTTTCCGCACTACGCCTACTCGAGCGCACAGCACCGTAGGGTGAGCAGACGCGTCGACCGCATCTATGGAATCGTACAGACCTACGGCATAGCGTGCGGGGCACGCCGGGCGGGCTTTCCCGAACAGCTTGAAGAGATTGCGGAGCTGCACTCGCTCGAAGACGAGTTCGGGGAGAAGCTAGTGACCAAAGCGCCGCTGCTTTCACAGATCTTCATCCACAGCCGGACTCGGGAGCAGGGCCCGCCCCGGCGGAGCTGGCTGATCACGCAGAACTGCAAGGTCAACGACTTCTTCTGGCAGTCGTTCACGTCCAGTTACCAGGTGCAAAATCTCTTTTCCACCTTCGAGACCAGACGGGAGAGTATCGGCGGAGATTTACGTCTTCGGTTTAGGGGTCTCGCTTGGCAGCTCGACGAATTCGTTCAGGTAGTCTCACAAAGCTCTTGCCTGATGTCGGAGATCAGCAGGAAGGGTTTATTTTCCCCGGTGAACATCGGGCTATCATCCAGGTACCGTGGTTTAATGCTTGACCACCACGTATCGAGGATGGTGCTCGGACAGGTGGTGGACTACTTCCACAACTACGACGAGATGACCTCGGCCGTCCGCGCCCTTTACCAGCACTACTGCGGAAAAGATCGCACCGAAGGAGACGGAACCGTACGGTCGATACATCTCAGCTGGATCAGAGTGTGTCTTCTTGGATCCGGTGGTATTAAAAACACGCCGATTCGGTCTTACGTCGGCATCGTGCTGGCGCCTGCTTCAGAAACTACATGGCAACGTATTGGGCTGATGAGATGGGTCGAGTTTTATTCGCAGGAAGACTGCGAGCCCTACTCGTTCCTTCCTCTAGCGGACAGGGTCGAATGTAGTATCATATGATAGTGACACTTGAGCCCGTATATGCACAAAAGTCGGGCCCAGACAGCCTTTCCCATAATCATATTTGAAATACGGCCGAGCCCGTCTGACATGGCAGGCAGCACAAGTTGCTGAGGAGGTCACCAGGGGGTAAGTAGAAATAAGCGATGAATGCTAGAGCAGAGATAGAACATAAAGCGGTAAATCGATGAGGATCAACATGCTACTGTTACGAGAGTGGAAGAGGTGACTGCGGCATCCTGCGGCTAGATCGCCGAAAGGGGCTGTGGGAGAACCTGGCAGGATGCTGCCCGATTTGCAGTCAGGCTGCGAGTCCCAAAGTTACAAGGCGCTCCCCGCGCCCGAGCTGCTTGACGTGTAACCACCAAGTTGGCTAGGTTTTATATACGACACCCCAATACCCATATCTGCATCTGTACCTCAATGTGTAGGACAGCCCGGAATTAGATCTCAAGCAGCCCACCCCTAGCCGCTTCATTGTGCAGGAAACGCTTTTACGTTCCACTTTCCTTTGAGGCGCGTCCACGTGCCCTACAGCGAGGCTTCGCGATAGGTTTTCCACACCCAACCTCGTCTTTGCCATCCATTTACCCCCATGTCTACCACCTTGACGTCTGTCCAACCGTGTTGGCCCAGACGACTTCTTCACGTGGATGGCGACCAGCTGACCTCGGTCGAGCGGAGCGGCGAGGCCACCTATGGAGCCTTCGACGCTCCGCCTTACAACATCCTCAGCTACACCTGGGGCCGGTTCGCGCTGCGGGAGGGCGATGACGGCTACGGGGACGTGGAGCCCATCCGCATCCACAACGTCCCGTGGGCGATCCCCCGCATCCGGCCGGAGCACTTCACGGCCGAGAAGTTCCTTCGGGTCATACAGCTGGTCGCCAGCGGCATCACGGGCAGCAGCCGCACCTCGCGCGTCTGGCTCGACGTGGCCTGCATCCACCAGGAGGACCGCGCCGAGAAGATGGACGAGATCGGCCGCCAGGCCGCCATCTTCGATCGGGCCTTGGACTCCTTCATCTGGCTGAGCCGCCTCCCGGCCGAGCTTCTGAGCCGCCACTGTCGCAATCTCCACGTCACCAACGGCCCCTTGTGGATCGAGGACCGCCACGAGGACATCTCCAGCCTCCTGGCGGACCCCTGGTTCTCCTCGCTATGGACCCTCCAGGAGTCCTTCTTGAGGTCCGACGCCGTCTGGGTCGCGCGAGAGGGGTGCACTGTGCCGTCGGAACGTTTCCCAGATTCTCCCCTGGGCCAGTCTGACCTGGTCAGCTACGGCGCGAGCCTGCGCGACGCCCTGCGGACGGAGCTGGCCCGCCCGACCGCGGCCGCCGAGCACCGCGAACTCGGCCAGGCCGTCTTTTCCATGCTTGACGACTTGGGCGTGGGGGCCCTGGCCAGGTCAAACGCCGTGCAGCTATACTCGGTCGCCAACAGGCGCTGTACCCGTGAGTGTTGAGAGATGTGGCAGAAGCATTCTTCTTTCCTTCTTCCCCGTCCCATTTATTCTTCTCTATTTCCTTTTTTTCCCCGCCTTCCAACTTTCCTCTCGAGTTCCCATCTAACAGTCATAGTGCACCCACTTGACAGGATCTACGGCATCATGCAGGTCTTCGGCTTCGTTCTCGGCGAGGCCCGGGACCCGGAGCGCACCTTCTCCCTGGGCGAGCTCGAGGACGAGCTAGGCATCGCAATGAACAAGGAGAACGCCATGTTCGCCCAGCTCTTCGTCCACCTCCAGGAGCCGCCCCCGCTACGCCGGTGGCGCATCCAGCCGCAGATTAGCATCCCCAGCCGCATCCACCAGCTGTTCGACTGGGGGTCCCGCGTGTCCTGCGCCATCGGCTACGACGCCGCGGCCGGCACCGCCGTCTTCCGCGGCCCCGCCGCAGACTTCGCCGCCCTGGCCGCCCACTGGCGCGACGTGTCCGTCCACCCGCGTTTCCAGACCGTCCTCTCGACTCCGGAAGTCGTCCTGCTCGACCGCACCGACCGCAACGCTGCGCGCCTGCACCCGGCCCTGGGCCTCGACTCGCGCCAGGGCGGGCCCGGCGAGCTCAACGACCTGCTGACCGCCGAGTACGGGGCCGGCCTGCGCGTGCTGGTTCTCGGCCAGACCCAGGACATCTGCCGCGGCCGCCGCGGCGGGTGGGCGTGGTGCGGTGTCCTCGTCCACCCCGAGACCGTCGAGATGAGCGACGGCGTCGAGCGGACGGCCTGGCTGCGCCTCGGCGTCTGCGTGTGGGAGTTCGTGGCGGAGGAGCTGGATGAGACCATGAAGGCGTTGCTCCGGGACGACGAATTGTATCTCGGTTAGTGGGCCGTACTGATCAAAGAAATCTTTCCTGTTGTGCCTCGGGCATCCATCACAAACTACACACCAGTGCTGCCCTCCCAATGATGGAAGAAATATTGGGTGGCGGGGTGGCTTATTGACTGAATAGAAAAACATCGCCGTCATCCCCAATACCCTTCTGCTTCATGCCACCTGTCACCACGCCCTGAGAGTAAAGTCTTCATGTCATCTGTCAGTCTTTCAAACCCAACTTCAACTTTCTCGTCACCTTCTTCCCTCACCCAACGATCTGCCTTGAACCACTTGCACACGCCGATGCGCTCGTATGAAGGAACAAAAGGGCTGCAGGGGCCGGCGGGCCGTCTCCCGGGTTCCCGGCCGTTGTGATGCGGCTTTTTCCTCAAAATCAGCCCAACGAACCACTCGTCGTGTTCTTCCCTCCAAGCCGCCCCAAACCCCTCGCACGCGGCCCCTTCCTGCTTCAGATATGAAGCCAGCAGTGGATCGAGGCAGGAGCCGAGAAGAAGAACCTGTACGTCGCCACCGTCGGTATCCTTACTATTAGTCGCCATTTTGGCAAGTATTTTGTGAATGTCGTTATAATGATAGTTGATATCTGCAAAGAGGAAACCGGTTATTCCTGGGATCTGGAGGCGAGATCCGCCGGGCAGCGTGCTGGGGATCATGTCGAATGTGACGTCCACATTTCCCATGCTTTCCTCTACCCGCTCGCTCGCGGTCTCGTGGTCGAGCGGCCTGACGGCGTCGAAGGTTTCGAAAGAGACGAGCAGGTCATTCAGCGCACACAGCCGACCCTGGAAATATGCCGACCCGTGCGTGACCGAAAACCTGCAGAGCGGGAGGGGCCTGGCCGGGTGAGGCCGCTCCCAGTGGACGCGCTCGCTGCTCCTCGCGGGGCCGACCAGGTCGTTGGCCCAGCGGGGCAGCGCCGCAGAGCTGCCGATGCGCCACTTGGACATCGGGTCCCGCGGCGGCTCCGTGTGCACAAAGAGCTGGGTCTCCACGGGGTAGGCGAGGAGCAGCTTCTCTGACAGCATCTGCCGGAGCTCGGCCGGCGTGCAGCTCTTGCCGTCTCCTCGCCGCCGCAGCGGCAGCTGGATGCCAAAGATCTGCATGATGCCGTACACCCTGTCGCACGGGTCCCACGCCTCCCGCCTGCTCGAGGCGGCAAAGATGGCGAACGGGCTCTTGCTGTACAGCTCCCGCAGCCCGGCCTCGTGGACCTTGTCTGCGATGGCTCTGAGTCGGTCGCGAGGGCCCACGTCCAGGGCGACGCATTCGTTGCAGAGGGCCACTGCCGGCAGCAAGGCCATGTTCAAGTCCCTCAGGGTGAGCATTCTTTGCGAGCTGCCGGCGGCCGGGCCGTCCAGCATATCGAGGCAGTCCCGAGGAAGAAGGCAGGAATGCGGCCGCAGGTAGGCCTCCTGGAGCGTCCAGAGCGAGGAGAACCAGGGCGCCATTGTGCGGGCGGCGTCCTTGTCGTCACTTTCCTGTTTATTGAGCAGAACAAGCTCTACGATCTCTTGAACGCGTGAAAGCCGCTGCTGCACCCACTCCAGATGCTGCTGCTCCTTGTTGGTTTTGTTGTTGACCGGAAGTTGGGACCAGCCTCTCTCTCTGCAGAAGTCCTGGATCTCGAGCAGCTGGTCGTGGCCCAAATGGCCCAACCAAACACAGGAGGTCCGGGAATTTTGAAAAATGGCGGCTTGTCTGTTGATCTCGGCCAGCTTGGTCTTGGCGTGCTCCTGGTCTATGCAGGCGACGTCGAGCCACAAAAAGTCCACGACAAGCTCCGGGTCCATGTGCCTCCTCTCTATCCAGCGGTTGTCGAGATCGAGGGGCGAGAAGGCCGCTGTCGCGAGCTTCACGGCGGCGTGGAACTCCTCGACGCTGAAGTGCGCCGGGTTGATCCGCGGGATCTTCCAGGTGCGGCGGCCTTCGATCCGAATGGGCAGGGCCTTCACTGCCGGCTGTTCGCCCTCCTTGAGCGCATATCTCCCCCACGTGTAGGAGAGTGTGTTGTAGGCCGGGCGTTCGTGGCCCCCGTAGCGGTGGCCCGGCCGCCACTCGTGCGATGTTAGGGTCGGGACGTGAAGCAATCGTCTTGGCCAGTTGCCATATTTGGCGTCAAAGTCCTTCATGTTGCATTTTTCCCGCTCACCTCAACATGGCCGAGCTCAACCTTGGGCGCAAGAATCAATACAGCAAGGTCGGCCGCCCGGCGAGGGAGAAGTCGAAGGGAAAGAGAATGGAAAATGCCAAATGAGAATAAAAGCAAACTGGCAGGGCTCGGAAAAGCTCCAATCAACAAGTCGGGCGCCGGCAGGGCCCAGTGGTAGGGGACGGAGGCGACAAAGTGGCAGCCCAGTCAGCCAAGGGCCTGGCAGGTTTGAGGCTGGGCACGAGTGGCGTGGTGGGATCACAGCTGCACGTGCCTGCCACAACGTTGGCTGAACGCATTGGTCTGCATATAGCGATACCTAGGTATACATGCGACCGTGCTCGGCCCGCCGGTCGTCGCACGCGATCCCGTGCCAGCCGTGCTGCTACTGACAAGACACAGCCGCGACTTCGGGTTTAGCGGGCACCTGGAGCGGTTAGGCCCGGCGCTGATGCTGCAAGTCGCTGACTACAGTCGCCCGGCAGTGGGAGACGTCTCCGTTTGGAGATTCTGTGTATTGCTGTCCACGGTGGGGAGCAGTGGGGAGTTCCCCGGCCAGCTTACTTGCCCGTCCACATTGCTATCCTATTTCGGCGAGAGGGGTGTATCAGCCAAGGTTTATTATGACGTTTGGTCTTTATCATTCGTCCCAACTCTCGCCGCCTGCCCAGCGAGATCTTGTCGACGCAGATATAAATATGGACGCTGGTCAACCTTTTGTGGATACAAGGTCAATAGGTCCCTAGGTGCCTCACGAGATACCTCTGGCCTCGCCTCCGCCAACCACTCGCATATCGGCCAACCGTCAACATGGCGCCAACAGTTGTCTTGATCACCGGCGCCAATAGGGGACTCGGGGCTGGGCTTACAAAGCGGTTCCTCGCGGAGCCTCCTCACTTACGTGCGAAGCCATACCGTTGGGATCGCAGGGCCGCCTGTGCTCGGAAAACGGTTGACCACGCAGTCACCACGGGACAGATCTTTATCGCGGCGGTGCGGGACCCGTCGCACCCAACTGTCGCAAACCTCTCGGCCGCGCCCAAGGGGCAGGGCACCAAGCTGGTCGTTGTCAAATACGACGCGGCCGTCGAGCAGTCGCCCTTTGACGTCGTGGCCTCCCTCAAGGGGAGGCCGTGAAGGATTTCTGTAATTATTTGGCTTGGATATGGAATCTATCATCAGGGTACCACTCTTCACAATTCTCCGGACCTTGCCCGCATTCAGCTTTGGTTTTGCCAAGCCTATGTGGTTATCTTGCTCTTCCAGGGGCATAACCTGGCTATCACATGCCACCCATTATGACGCGAGCGGCGTTGTGCCCGGGGAAAGCGGTGAGCATCGCGGACGAAGCCTGTATGCATCTACTGAGCTACCTGCTCCGCGAAGGAGACGGCCGGCTGCCCGCCTCGCCGCTGCCCTATACTTTAACATGGACTGCCGGCCACGTCTACGCCACCGAAAGCTACAGGGTGCTCCGTGTATTCCGACTGCCGCTTTTCCGCAAAGTCGAGGAGCGCGAACGGACTGAAGGCCTGCCGCAGGGCAATACGGACGCCAAAAAGGATTATGTATCCGACTCCGCCGACGACGCGGCTGAAGAATCCATACCGGTAGCCTTTATTAGCAACGCCAAGATCTTCCTCCCGCGATCGGCGGTCCAACGTTCGGTCCACCTTTTCCCCAGTGCCGACGAGGAGGTGACCAAGGACAAGGAGCCCAAGAGCAAGAAATCCAAGGGCAGGGAAAAGGCGTCGTCGTCAAAGACCAAGGAGACGGGAGACGACGACAAGGTCGTGGCCACGGTGGTCGTCTCGCCAGAAGACAGCCTCGCCGGGGTGGCTCACCCGTACGTCGGCCCGCCTCAGGTCGTGTGCGTTACCGCCGGCGAGCGCGGGCGCTGGAGGTGGCTGTGCCCGGCGCCTGCTTTATGCACGCGAGCGGGCCAATCGGTCGAACGAAGGGTCCTTCCATGGACATCTCCGTGTGACAAACGCACAGCCCCCAAATGTGATAGTACGCGTTTCTTTATTTCGTTCTCCACATTCAATGATGCTACGCCTTGCTCACAAGGACGGCAGAAAAGACAAACGCAATGCAGGACGCAAACGAGTTGCTACAATCACACGCAAAAGAAGATCGGACGGGACGGTCATGTTGGGCTGTGGACTTTTTCGGTTGCCCCCGACGTTGGTTTATGTGGGGCCGACAGCCTGGCGGTTTCTGCTGGCCAGACTCCTCAGACCTCTCTCACTCGATTCTCAAGTCGCCTTTGATGCCTTTCCGCCTCCGTCCTGATTTGTTGTGGCCTTCTGGCGGATTTCTTTTCCTGCCTGCACGCGAGTACCTCAAACTTGCCCTACCCCGCCCCGGAAGCCTCTGCGTGTTTTCGCCTTCTTCCCCTCCCACAACCCATCTACCAGAAAACCTCACCCGGGGTTGCACTTTTTCCCTTAACATGGCCATATGAACTTTCTTGCCGATACTGTTCTGTTTCCTGTGCTACTTTGCGCCAAGACTCCCTTCCTCAGCATCATCTGCAGCTTCCAGGACTACGGCAACTTTCTGCACCTTCGACTACATCTTTCCCAGCATATAGCTACCAGAGGGTGGCCATCGCCGCCATGTCTAGGCCGAGAAAGGTCGAGTGGGAGCTTAAGGAGCCTGATACTGCCATATATGTGGTGAATCATGTCTTCCTCCCGCCCCAGCTGCCCGGCAAGGACGACAGTAACCCAATGTTAAACTCGGAGCTGCTTTCAATGCTGCCAACCTTCCTCCAAAGCTTCAGCCTTCACATCGCCCCCGCCCAGCGCGACGCGGTCACGTCTGTTGTCAAGATGATGCACAGAACGCATCAGGTTCTCGCCGACAACGGGAATATTGACGAGAAGCAGCTCGCTGTGGTTCTGAAAGACCTTGGTGACTCTGGTTAGTCTTCTTTCGGCTGTTTACTACTTATTTGCTCTGTTTTATTTCCCGAGTCCCATTTTTCCCTCTTCGCAGCCTTTTCTTTAGCAAACTCCTCGGCTATCGTACTGATATTCCTCTCCCACAATCTTGTAGGTGGAGCGGTCGCTCTCAACCTATCGTGCCAGAACGCTGGAGTTATTATAACAAAGCAGGATGAATCGGTCTACATCGAAGCTTTCGAGCTATGCCCCAAGAACCAGACTGCCATGGAGTCCCCGGGTAGACTCCGCCGCCGGTTTCCCGACGTGGCAGCTGCTGTTCCACTGAACAAGTTTGATGACGTCGGTTTCCGCGCCAACCTTGTCCATGTCCTGTCGACTTTGTGCCAACAAGCTGCCCCAGGTACTCGCCCGCGGGTGATGAAGGCAAACCAGTCTCACGAGGAAAATCGGGATACTGTTGACCCAATGTGGGCCACTGAGTGGCTTCTAACGGGTGTCCTGGCCACCGACGCCAAGCCTATCGATCGACCGGGCATATGCAAGAAAGTCCGTGATCGCGTGCTGTGGAACGACAGTTTTATGCCATGGCGCAGGTCGCCTGCTTGGCTTCTCGCCCGGGTCGCAATCCAGATCGATTTCTCGCGGGAGTCGGCGGGCGGCCATGAGCTGTACAAACACCTCATGCTCTTCATGACAGCCTCGATCCTCGACAATATCCCAGCCATAAATCTGTCCAGCGACATGATGTATACCATGTGGGCAAAAGTTGCACAGCGGAAGCGGAAGCTCGTTCAGCTTTGCACCCATACGGACGATGGCGTCCTCCGGTACGTCGACAGCTGCATGGACAGGGCTAAGGCCGAGCTTGCACGCCGCCAAAACCTTCTGTCCCATGACCCAGCTCCAGCCCTGCATATCGCGCAGCTCCAATCGCTCGACTTTTCCAGTGATACCTCTCACCGACTGCCGGATTTTGAGAGCTTTCTCGAGTCTATCAAGGACCGCAAGCAAACCTTGCGCGAGGCTTCCTTCAACCAGTCTGACTGCCCTGGGGAGTTCAACTCCGGTTCCCTGCCCAGTCTCTACACCAATGCGACCGACTACACAGCCTTTACCCTCGCCGCTTTCGAAGAGTGGGTGGTCAAATATCTGGATGAGTGGCTTGTGGCGCACATCGCCGACCAGTATACGTGTCGCGACTTGGCTTCTCTCATGAGTTCTTACGATCACCTCGCGAGCCCCGAGTACACGAAGAACCCCGAAGGTGCCTCTGTGCTTGTCCTTACGGCGCTCGAGCTCTGGATAGCCTGCGACAAATCAGCCACCCACCTGTGCCCTCTTCTTAAGGAGTACAAGCCGCACGTGCCTGCCCAGCTGCTTCAGTCACTCCTTCTTCCTTTCCGGGAGCAGATGAAGAGGCTCAGGAAAGCCGAGCTATATCTGGAGCAACGTTCTCTGGCCGCGAGCCCCTCACTACCCAATATTTTCCAGAGATTCGCCACCCCAGGTAGGTGCTGTCCAATTTTCCATTTAGCACTTTTTGCATCCCCCAACATCTTTTCTCCTAGCATCTATCCCTCCTTACGCATTCTATATTCCTAGCATATTTGCCTTTTGCGGGAAAACCTTATTTATGCTCCTTCGCCTCTCTTAATGGATTAAAGCTGACTCGAAACCCGACAGAATCCTTTGCTGTGCGCTACTATTCGAGATCCCGGGAGCTTCAGGAACTTTACCGTAGTATCACGGACGACGCAACCAGGACTCGAAAGGAGAAGATTGCTGAGCTCTCAAGGCTCCAGGACCGCTACATAACCCTGAAGTCCCTGAGTGACAGCCTCAGTTGCACCCAAGTCCAAGTCTGGCACCGCTGGAGCGGGTTCGTTTGGGAACATGATGGTTGCTGCAAAAAGTGCGCCCTCCAGACCGCGATGAACTGTATCAAGATCGACATTCACGAATGGCCTCTTCCTTCTCAGTTCCTGGCTGCCCAGGCAGCAGTCTTCGAGCTTGGCGGACCGGCTTACTTCAGCTTCTGGCGGGACGCGACGGCATTCCTTGTGCTGAACGTTCTCCAGTGTCGCTACAGTGCCAATAATCGTCAGATGGAGTGTCGCCTGAGTGGCTACCAGGCTCTGTCGGGATACGGCGCTGCGCAACTTCACTCTCGGCGTATCGCTTTATCCTCATCGACCAAACCCCATGTCGTAACGCACCGCAGTTCAAAGCATGTTGCTGGCCTTACCGGATCCGACGTGTGCCTGAACAACGGCATGACCTACGCATATTATGATAACGTCAGCTCCACGTACGTCCATGATTTTCAGGCCGTCGAAGACTCTCCGCGTCGTTGCATGTACAGCCTTCCTACAGAATCCCAATGGCTCGAGAAGTACCTTTTCCGGCCCAGCTACATGCCGCAGGGACAGCCTCCCAACCTGGCCATTGCAAACCAGCACGAGGTTCCGGACTCTTTTTCTCTGCCCGAATTTAGGGCCTTGGCCTCTATCCCTTTGGGACACAAAATTCAGTGGCTCAACATCCTGTCCGAGCTGGCCAGTTCTTCCGTCGACTTCCGGAAGGATCAAACGAGCCTCGTTCTCTTCCAGGCCATGTATCAGACAGGACCGCCGGCCGATGGTTCGGCTCTGAGAGAGGGTCACCAGGTCCTGGACGACGTCGACTTCTGCCACAAGCTTGTAGCTCAGCTTCATGGGGCAGCGGGCCGAATCAAGCAAAACTGGGAGTCATCCCAGGCGCTGGCGAACTTCATTTTCATCGCCACACGAATCCTGACTTTGTCGTCGGCAGAAGATGTGCATAAAGCCTGTTTGAAATTTCTTACAGAAGCTCGTCACATCGCAGCGTCCTGGCTGAAGCAGGTCCACACCAAAGCGCAGGCGGCGACAGAGGAAGCATTCCGCTTGGAACTGCTAGGAAAGACTGCCGAGCTTGCTCTTATATGTGTCGCAACATTCGATGTTGACGACGAGCCCCACCTCCATTTCCTCCTGAGTAACGCCAAAAACACGTCGGTTCTAATCCAGTGCTGCATCAGTATCCAGGAGTCTCTTCTCCCAGACGTCATCAAAGCACGGGGCACAATCTTGGCGCTCATGATCATGCGCTGGAAGCGAGTCTGCCATCGGGCCTCGACATATCTCTCTCGCGCTCTCACATCGGCGGACTGTCGAGGTATTATCAAAGACAACAAAATGGTACAGGATAGTGGAGACCAAACGGGAAATGGCCTCGACGACGCCATCCTTCAATCCTGGTCGGACTACCGCAAGGGCGGTCATTGGAGGCGTCACTCAATGTTACTGCAGCATTGGCTAGTGACAGAAACGACCCCGATCAACGGTCGCTCGCTGGATGTCAAGTACAACCTGCTAACGGGCGAGCTTCTCGTCAACAACCTTCCATTGTCCCGGCTTCCAGCCGAATATGAGCGTCATACAATCTTCCAGCACCTTTTCGGAAACACGATCCTCGACGTTATGCCGTCTAACATCCCTGGCATGCAGTTTAGCGTCAAGGCCATTGTTTCGGGCTACACCGTAAACCTCGGGCAGCAAGATTCTGGAGACCTCATCATGTCCGCCACGCACCGCGGTACTGGTGTCACCTTCCAGATCATTCCCGCACGGCTGTTCAAGCGGCATCTTCCTTCCTCACTTGTCCACGACTGCACGCATTGGTACAACACGGCCAGAAACAGCGTTGAATTCCGTCCCATCCGGAGCTCTTGGCAGCATCCTCCTGCAGAGGATATCTGGACTTTGATAAGGGTGGAGGATGGAGCTTGGAGGCTTCAGAAGGGCCCACGACACCTGGTTTCGCGGCACAGCAGAACTGAAAAGGCCATCGCAGCAGTGCTTAATCCTATCGAGGACGTCCAACATCTGCACGTATGCCTTGACACAAGCACCGCGCCCTCTCGTCTCGACGTCGAGGTTCCCAGGCTACGGCTTCAATTTTCCCTCGAGCCCAAGTCCAATAAACTTGAGTCCCACCAATACCGCGGGATGTGGATCGACTCTGATTCCCAGTCGATCGGAACGCTCATAGGATTAACTAGCAAAGTCGTGCTGGTCAGCAGCGGTGGCGCCCGGCTGCTCCTTGTGCCTGACGGCAAGGTCCAGTGGGGCAGGACGGCAAAATTCACTGAAGACCCGGAAGGCAGCATGCACGTCTCTGTAACCGTCGCCAAAGGCACCTGCTCAGGGGTTCGCACCTACCGAATCGATACGCAGCTTGGCCGGCTAGTCGACGATGGCAGCTTCAGGGACCAAATTTACCTCGCCTTTCTCTTTGCCATTACGTCTTTTCCCCACCCCGACCCCCTCACCGCCCACACGGGCACCGAGCAGGCCTTGATGATCCTCCAATCTGGTGCAGTGAGGTCTCTTTCCCAGCTCGGTGACGAAAACCTGGCTTTGTTGGTTCAAATCAGCCAACTTACTCCTTCACGGGCATTTTATCCTGATTACTTGAAGGAGATGGAGCAGGTGGAATGGCAGCAAAACCTTGGCTTCCTTTCCCAGCACTCACAATTCTTCATATCAGTGAAAGCTCTTCTTCAACAAGCCGACCGCCACCAGAAGCTGTACAGCCCAGGTTCGAGTCTCAGCTTTGTCGACAGTCTGCCCCGACTGGAAGAATCCCTTATCGAATATGATCTCGTCAACTCTGCCTGGTGCAGGACATCTGGCTTTGGTGCAGAGAACTTTACGACGACTTTCGATCGGACTTATCAGGGCAGAGGTCTTAACTGGGACGTGGCGAGAGCCAACGCGTGCTTTGCCACGTCGAAGGTCATCCTCTCTGGACATCCTCGGTTGTCCGTAAGTATCATTCCCCTCGCTTTCCCTCCCAAATCACTTTCAGCACTTTATTCTACTCTCTACTATCACTTCCTTTGTGACTCCGCCCTCAAACACGGAGAACAACGTGAGGCTGACTGCACAAAAACCTCACAGGCCAACGTGGAACCGCACTCTCTTCAGTGGCGCCTCTGGCGCTGCTTTCTCTCTGCAGGCACAATAGAGGGTCCGAAAAAGCCCGTACCGTCGTCCTATCCCTTGGCATTTGACTTCTCTTGGCTCCACGACAACACAACTGTCCTCAATCATATCTGCCACATTCAAAATCTCCTTGGGAAGCAGGCGTTTGCCTGTCGTCACAAAGTCATGTCCTGGATGTCTGCGATGGTTTTTGCGGCCAATTCGGCACGGGTCTCTGCGTCACACGGCCCCTTATTCGACACCCTGATTCTTCGGGTGTTGGAGGCCTTCGTCTTGGCCCCTGCGATGGCTCAGATTGCCCCGCCCGACTTTGATTCCTTCAATGTCGCAGCCGGCTACAAGTTTCTCGCTTCAGATATCAAAGAAATCCTCGAGTCGGATGCATACGAATTCTGGGAATGTCCCGAGTCGAGGCTAGCCCAGTTCGAGAGCGAGGACGCCGAGGAGTTCAATAAGCGTCGAACCAAGGCATTTCAGCGCAACATGGACGCTCTGGTGGCCGGATTTATTTCGTCACTGGAGGGTCAATGGCCATGTGCCTCGCCTACTGCGCCGTCGGCGTACGAATACTCGACGTACTTCCCTGTACCTCGCATTATGGCACAAGTGCGAGACAAGCTCACGATCTGGTACCGCAACCACTGTTTCTACGAATACCTGGGCAAGATCGCGGAGGTGATGAAGTTGCAGGAAGTTGCCACACCTGTGGAGGCACCCAAGCCACCTCCCGCTTGTCTCGACAACCATCGCAGGAGCTTCAAGGGGTTCGTCTCCGTCGACGACATCTTTGGAAGCCATGAATGCCCTGACATATCTCCCCTCGGTAACCGCCCCGTTCTTTTGCTCCCTGAGACGGCGGCTGCTACCCGGAGAGTTCATGGGACCTCGCCTCCGCGCGTGAGATTACTTGGGCGGATGCTGGAGTTCAAGGCAAAATCCGACTTCGAACGCCGCTACATTAAGGACCTCGATCATAGCATAGAGGCCCTTCAACAGATTTCGGAGCGGGCCCCGCTATCCTCCGAGGACCTCGAGACGGTGAAGCAGGAGATGCAGACCTACTTTGCCAAATGCCGACGGTATCTAGAAGACCTGCACGCTGCCCTGGAGTTCGCAACCATCGGCATCTACGGTGCAGACGGCCAGCACACTGCTCCACTGCCACGCATCTGCCCGGCATTCTTCCTGTCGCAACTCGCGGCTTACCGATGGAAGGCCATCCCTGAGTCCTGGAAGCCGGTCCTCATCCGCTTCGCTTTGGCCCATCACGATATCCAGCGTGCAGAGCGGCTCATCGCGTCTTCGCGCAACGCCAACGATCTGGCCAAGGAGCTGGCTAACCTGGGGCATATTAACTGGAAACCAGAAGAGCTTCCATCGGCTTTGCTTATGGAGGTCGAAAGCAACATTACTATCCGTGCCATGCAAATCGATATCGCCTCGACAATGATTTCGCCTCCCAACGGCCGCAACTCTGTTATGCAGCTAAATATGGGAGAAGGCAAGAGCTGTAAGTGATTCTTTTGACTTTTACCACGGATTTTCCTACGCATCTTTCACTTTTTACATGCTTTGAAACCCATAATGCTGACTTGAAGCCACCATTCATTCAGCTGTTATCGTTCCCATCGTCGCTTCTGCACTAGCTGACGGCTCGCGACTTGTCCGCGTTGTCGTTGGCAAGGCACAGGCGCCGCAAATGCGCCAGATGCTGCTCTCAAAACTCGGCGGACTCCTAAACATCAAAGTTTACCAACTCCCGTTCTCCCGCGCACTTCGGCTGGACTCCACTCAGGTATCCTACATTGCAAAGGATTTACAGGCCTGCCAGGCCGAAGGTGGCATTCTGTTGGTGCAGCCTGAACATTTGCTGTCTTTCAAACTTATGGGCCTCGAGTCTCTTATCAGTGGCAAAACCTCGGTCGGCGAAGCACTTCTACAAACGCAACGCCTGCTCGATTGTACATCGCGGGATATCGTGGACGAGAGCGACGAAAACTTCAGCGTCAAATTCGAGCTGGTCTACACAATGGGGGCGCAGCGACCCCTAGAATTCTCGCCCGACAGGTGGCGCCTTCTGCTGAACGTCCTTACTGTCGTTAAAGACCTGGCTCCCTCTCTCGCCCAGGAGATGCCCCACTCGATAGAGATCAACGACATCCATGGCCTCGGTTCCTTCTCGCGGCTTCGCATCTTCGGCCATGAAGCCCAGGACCGCCTGACACGTGCGGTGGCTGAACGGATTTGCAAAACCGGTCTTCCTGGGCTCTCGATTGCCCGACAGGGTCCCAAATCACGGTGAGTACTGTTTTTAATACTTGGTCTCCTAGGTATATCCTATACCGATTCCCTTCTCCTTTCCCTACCTCTTTCCCTGCCTCTTTCCCTTCTCACTTCCCTAAACCATTTTTGTTTTCTTTCCCTGCCTTTTTTTCCTGGCGCTTAAGCACCTTTAATATAACAAATCTAACTCCAAATTTCTTCCTGTAGTGCGGCTCTCTTCACCTACTTGACGAAGCCAGACTTATCCTTCGAGGAGACATCGGCGGTTGAGGATGCTGGCGTCGGCGGTTTCTGGAGCGAATCAACAAAGCGCCCACTTCTGCAGCTGCGGGGCCTCCTCGCTGGCGGGATCCTGGGGTTCGCATTCTCGCAGAAGCGATGGCGTGTCAACTACGGCTTCGACCCGAATCGAAATCCACCAACGCGTCTTGCCGTGCCTTACAGGGCCAAAGACCAGCCAAGTAGCCGCAGTGAATTTTCCCATCCAGAAATTGTCCAGCTTTTGACGGCGCTGAGCTTATACTATGGCGGCCTGTCCGACGAAGACCTGTTCGTCGCTTTCACGTACCTCCTCAAATCGGATCAGCCGGAGCAAGAATACGACGCGTGGGTAAAGGATGCAAGCGCGTTGCCGTCAACATTCCACCACCTCCAAGGCGTCAACATTACAGATCGTGTGCAGTGTACGGAGCACATTTTCCCGGCTTTGCGATATGCCAAGGGCGCAGTGGACTTCTTTCTCAGCCGGGTGGTATACCCCAAGTACTTGAAGGAGTTCCCTTCCAAGCTTAGTGCTTCGGGCTGGGACCTCGGCGACGTCAAGGTGCATCCGACCACCGGATTTTCGGGTACGAACGACTCCCGCGAGCTGCTTCCCCTATCGGTCAGCCATCTGGATCTGCCTGAGCAGAAACATACAAATGCTCTGGTGCTCGAATACCTGCTCCGGGATGAGAACGATGTTATATCTATTCCATCGAGAGGGACAAGCTCGTCGGATACAGATGCCGAGCAACTTCTCAACCTGGTCGTCGGCATGCCCAAGGAGGTTCAGGTTATCCTGGACGTCGGGGCGCAGATCCTAGAATTGAGCAATTTCGAGGTTGCCTATAAGTGGCTGAAGATGCGGGGACATGGCAAAAAGGCATGCGTGTACTTTGAGGACGATGACGAAATGTGGGTTGTGGACCTGAACGGACACAAGGAGCCTCTTCTCACGTCGCCGTTTGCTCGACAGCTCGATATGTGCCTTATCTTCCTCGACGAGGCGCATACGCGAGGCACAGACCTGAAGCTCCCTGACCATTACCGAGCTGCACTCACTCTTGGTGCCAATCTTACCAAGGACAGGCTGGTTCAAGGTAAGATATATTTTCAACGCTTCCCTATTACCAGTTGCCTCCTATCTCTCCCTATTCTCCCACTTTAAAGTTTTGCAGGTTTAGCCGACAGCAAGATAATGCTAACATCTAATTATAAGCCGCTATGCGCATGCGAAAGTTGGGAAAAGGACAGTCAGTTACATTCTGTGTCCCGCAGGAAATCCGAACGAAAATCATGCAGCGGGCCAACAAGCAGGATGTAGCGATGGGGGTCATCGAAGTCCTCGAGTGGGCCATTTCGGAAACCTTCACCGACATCCAGCAAAGCATCCCTCTGTGGGCCGTGCAGGGCCGCAGGTTCGGCCATCAGAAATATCTATACGACCAAAAGGATAATGGCGAGATCACGGAGGCTCTGGCGAGCAAATTCCTCGAGGACGAAGCGCAAACCATCCACGACCTCTACTGCCCAGGCAAGCAGCCCCCTAAGGCCTGTTGCGGAAATGTCGACCGTCACAATGGCGCGGACGACATCGTGGCTCACTGCTCAAAGTTTGGTGCCGTCAGGTTCAACTCGGCGGCCCTGCACGAAGAGCAGGAACGTGAGCTCAGCCCAGAGGTCGAGAAAGAGCGTCAGATTGAGAAGCCCGAGCCGGCCAAGCCGGCCTGCCACAAGATTTACCCAGCGGTGCGGCGCTTTGTCCGAACTGGTGATTTCACCAAAATCAGCATGGGTGATCTCCCAGCTGCGTTCCAGACGCTCGCCAACACGAGCGCTGCCGGCAATACTGTGCGCCTTGACCAGTTTCCCTGGCAGCTCCGCGTCACGAAAGATTTTGCGAAGACGATCGAAGCCCCAGATGGCTCGGCTTCAGGCCTACCGAACCAATATGATCAATATCAGCGCATGGCTCGATTCATCCTTACCAGCACTGGCGGCGACCTTTCGAATGTCGTCCGGCGTATCGTAATAATCAGTCCATACGAGGCCCAGGAGCTGCTTGCTGAGATCGAAAAGTATGGCAAGGTGACCCTGCATATTTACGGGCCCCGTTCCACCATGAGCTTCGCACCCCTCGACCATCTCCTCCTGCATGCGCGGCCGGCTCCGCCTCGCGACTGGTCGTGCCCGCTCTGGTTAACGGCGCAGCTGAACGTCTTCGCTGGCCAGCTCTACATCAAGTCGTTCGACGAGTACAAAGTCATATGCGACATGCTCGGCCTGTACTGGAAGGTCAGCGACGCTGACGGCGTCCTGGTTCACGCCGACGGCTTCATCGACCCGTCCTCGAGGGGCGCGTTGAATGACGACGGCAGGGCGACCTGCACCTTTACGCAAAGCCCGGTCCCGTTTATCAAGGTCCTTATGACCAAGATCCGGCGCGACTGCGAGACCATCGCCGAGACGCACATGGGCAAGATTCTGAACGGAGAGGTTCTTCTAGAGGAGCAGTTCGAGTCTTCAACTCCTGTCTAGCACGACGTGTCAGCCGCAAGGCATTCTCTCTAGGCAGGTCGGGATGCTTCCAAGTACGGAACCTCATCCGCCTCCGCCGCAACCATCACGCTCCTGAGGAACGCTCGTTCAGCATCCGAGGCGGCGCCATCACATCGACAACCAGAGCCACCGAGGCCAAGGACTTCAAAACCTGGTCCGACTTTCTGGAGTGTCTTGTCAATTTTACCCGTATATTCACCCACTTTTTCGGCGAGCAACACTTAAGCGTGATAACGGAGATAATGGGCCTTATCACAGACCTGCTCCTATATGTTAGAGGCCAGGCTGCGGCCTAGCCTCGAGGGCAAAACCTCATGTCGCTGAGGGGTGGCTGGGATCACACGCATAAGTGCGGTTCGCACCCGCATCTGTGAAGCAGGCTTATCCTTCCTAATCTTCGTCGTACAATACAAGCTTTGTTGTGCCTACCGATTGGCCGTGCCACTGCAGGCCCCTTACACTTGTGTGCGTTGGGTGTATAGAGACCCCTTTGACAATCAGGTGACAGTCCTGATTGTTCTGGCATTATGGCTGAGAAAGGGTCTCCCTTTGTCCAACCGCCGTAACTGTCACAATCAAAAGGGAAGGCAAAAGGTAGGGTGGCCGGTAGTAGCGTTCTGTGAAGCTACGAGGCCCGCAAGCGGGGGGCGCGCATGCACAGGATATCCTATGCGGGCGCCGGGGTGTTACGACCACAGCGGAAGGCCTGAACCCCGCCCCCAAGCAACGGAAGCCACGTGATAGATTACATAAATGATAGGTGCTATGTTTGCTATGTTCATAGCAGACATAGCACACAGGATGGCATAGGAGGATCTCGGGTGTAAGAAGGGAGGATTCCATTCTCTTGTAGATAGTTCTTGACTGAGGCTTCGGCATCAGTCAATCTAAGTTAGCTTCCAAATATCCCTTAGAGCAAGCATCCAGACCAGCATCCAGACTTGTGAATCCCCTCGTACCCCTAGTCACGTGTACCGTTCAAGAGCTCCACAGGCGCCCTACCCTAGGAGCAGAGACCTGTTTGAAACACGGGGCCGGCTATTTAATCTATCTGTAAGGGCCTAGTGCCCGTGACAGTAACAGTGGGGGAGCATTAAAAGGAGCATGGAAGGGAGCATGGAAACGGCATGGAAACGGCACGGAAGGGAGCATGGAGGGACATCAAGCGGAGGCATAGGAAAAATAAACGAAAGTTATCCCCCGCCATGAAACTACTAAACACGCGGATAATGGAGATCGGCGAAATCAGTATCGCTCAAAGTAACGGCAGCGTTTGTAACACCCCAAAATGTTAGGCATTTCAGCCCGGGTCCAGCCCGGTAAGGTGAGCTGACCGCCTAGCAGTTCGAGCACAAGCTGGCGGCACAGGCGCGGGCCGGCGCTTAATCCGTTGGCTTAGAGACAACCAGTTTAACAATACGAGCACAAGCAACCTTTTGGCCGTATTTAAGCGTTCAATAACCACTGGGGAATCCTCAGTGTTGTATGTTTTTGGTATTTTTTATCAAAAGCCCGAGAGCTTGGCGAAGCACGTGACGCGAGCCTGAGCTGGGGCCAAAATACCGACTTACCTACCGGTAGGCACCTACCACCCAGGTACCTAGGCTTCTAGTCGTGCTGCCAGAGACCATAGCAAAACCCACACGTCCGGAATGGCCTCATTACAGCGCATCCTCCGCCCAGCCGGCAGCAGGCGCATACTGGCCGGCATCCACAGGGTGACCACTGCCACGGCCACGACCCCCGCGCCGCCGACCTGTTGCGCCGCCGCCGCCGCCGCCGCGAGGCGCATGAACTCCTCCTCCTCCTCCTCTGCGACAAGCAAGCCGCCGCCCGCCGCCCCAGACTCCATCCCCGACGGCGAGCTGGGCGTGGGCGAGCTGCAGGGCGCCAGCTTCAGGGTCGAGCCGCTGCGCCGGGTCGGCGAGGACGCCAAGACGATGCGGGCTCGGCTGCTTCGTATGTATTTTTTATTTATTTCTTCCTCGTCTTGTAATGCAGACCTAACTTCGGAAAAAAAACAAGAACAAAATGAGAAACATATGAAACTGACATATTCACCACCCCTCTCCAGGCCAATCCCGCGGCCGCGGCACCCTCGAGTCGGAGCTCCTCCTCTCCACCTTTGCAAAGGCCCACCTGCCCGCCATGACGCCCGAGCAGATGTCGCAGTACGACCGCTTCCTGGACGAGAACGACTGGGACATATACTACTGGGCCACGCAGAGCGAGAGCGGCAGCAGCAACAACAACAACAGCACTAGCACCACCACCCAGACCCCGATCCAGAGCCCCCGCCCCGGCGAGTGGGCGCAGACGGTCGGCACCTTCAAGCCCGCGTACCGGCCCGTGCCGTCGCGCTGGCGGGGCAGCGAGGTCCTGGCCCTGCTGCGCCGCCACGTCCGCGACCGCTCCGCCGCCGGCGTGCTCGACGGCGGCGGCAGGGTGGCGGCCGGCGACGGCGAGGTGGCGGCGGCGGGAGGGTCGGCGACGACGACGGGCGGCGGCATGGCGTTTATGCCGCCGCTGAACTGATAGGCATCGCGGGGTCGGGAAGCCCCCGCCAGGCGTGCAAGGCCGGATCTTTTCGAGAAAGGAGGCTCGGGACATTGCTATCCATTCTTTGGTACCCATGGCTTCGTTCCAAGTCCATGACCTCTGTATGTACCAGCCAGCTAAATGTATCATCACTGTACTACCAGAGGTGCGGTTTGTCCATCTCCCCAACTCTCCTAGTCCGGCACGGCAAACTGCACGTTTTGTCACAGTTAATGAATCAAGAACCAACCGTCAGGTGTTACTCCTGGGTGGTTTCAGGGTCCAGGGCGAAAGAGCCCTCGCCCGGCGCGGCGTGTTATGTACAAGAAAGCAGCCCGCGCGACAGAGTTGCCAGGGAACAAAGTAAATCGGGTGAAACGTCACCCGCGTGAGAAAAAAAAAAGAAAAAACCGAGCCCTCGCCGGGTAGGTAGTTCTTCCCCTCCCCTGGGGCACCGGGCGATTAGCCAATTCTGCTGAAAGCCAAGACCCACCCGCCTTTCCCAGATAAAAGCAGAAAAGACCTCCATCGACAGACTAGGGCAGGGGGTATCACCGCCGCCGATGTTCCTAGAAACCTCTCCAAGACGCCTTGCCAAAGGAACGTGAAGTAGAAAAGACCCTAAGTCACGACTCCTACCATGAAAAAAAAAAATGAAAAAGGGGTGAAACAGAACGCTCATCTCGTTTCGTCATGTCGTGAACAACCCAAACGTGGAAGAAAGATACGAAAGGGAGTAGATGATGGGTATAAGGTAAGAAAGGGTGATGGGAGCGGTGGTGACGTGAGGAGACCGAGAAAAGAAAAGTCGACAAAAGACATGCCTGCCCGATCCTCAGCTGCGTGCTCAGCCTTCGTCTTCGGGTAATATCCTGCTCAGGCTGCGGAGGACCTCCATGACGGGAAGATTCCTGGTTCCTGCCGCCGCCTTTTCCCTCTCGTCGCGCTCCTTGAGCCGGTCCGCGCTCAGAGCCAGTACCCTGTCCGCCTGCCGCCCAGCGACCTCGACGCGCTGGCCCAGCTTGTGCACGCCGTCCACCAGCTGGTCGATGTCGAATTCCAGCGACGACTGCAGGCTCCGCAGCCTCGATTGAGTCTTGCCCCTGAAGGTCGAGAAGGCGAACGCCGGGTCCGTCAGCGACTGCAGCATCCTCGCTTCTTCCGGGTCGAGCATCGACTCGTCCGGGAGGGGCGCCTTTGTTGGGTCCTCCCCCTCGAATAGTGACGGAAATTCTGGTGGCGGTTTCTCTAGTGCCAGCCACTTTTTTCTTTCTTGTTTTAGTCTGCAAATAGCGCGTTAGCTTTGAATCCGCTATCTCGCTCTGTTTATCAAGAGTAAAGGTGATATAAACAGTTCCGACTTACTGCTTGATGCTGGCTTCGAGATCATAGATCTTCTTTTCGTTCTCGATATTGACTGGGTTCGGCTTCACCACCACTGGCCTTTTGACCTCGGGCACGGTTGGCTGGTCTTCTCGATTGAACCAGTCCGAGAATTCCGACTTGTTCCCAAAGTCTTTGAGCAGTTGGTCTTGTATTGCCCGTGCTGTTGTTTCCCAGAAAACGCACTTGTCAGCATCTACATCCAAGTAGCATAGGCCTCCCTGGCAAGACGGGGACAAGAAATAGAGAAAATATGCCCAACATACCCCCCAAAATTTCATTAGAATTAACAGAGCCATGTGGTGGCCTCTCCAGCAATGCGCGCTCACCGCACCACGTGAGCAGCTGCTTCATACGGCGCGGCTCCATCAAGCCCTCAGCAATGTGCTTGTAGAAGTCGGCCGGGTCGACTTCGCGGTGCGGGATCGCGCTGTGGCCGTTCTCGATGAGAGAGCTTGCCCGCCGCCCCCGCATCCCCAGACTGCTCCGCCGTCCGCTCGCCGCACCCTTCTTCCGCAACTCTTTATTGCGGTCCATGATGGGCGTGTCGCTGAACGGTAGGGCAATCTTCCTGCCGCCATCCACACTGCTGCCGCCTCCTCCGTCGGGGTCGTCGTCAGGATTATCCGGGCCTGCAGCGTCCATCTGCGCCCGAGGCGTGGCCACGGGCTCCAACTGCCTCTGCTGCACAGGTTCTGGCGCCGCTCGTTTCTTGGCCGGTCTCCCTCGACTTGGTTTTGGGGGTGGAGCGGCTGCGACGGGATCGATACCGTCGTCCTCCATATCCATCGACGACCGCGTTCTCCTCCCATTTGCTACCGGCACAGCCGTCGCCGTCTTTGTCGTTCTTGTCGTTGCTTTTGTCGCTGCCTTTGGTGGTGCTGCTGCTGCCGCTGCCTGCCTAGTGCCTCGCGTCTTTGGAATGACCAGCTGTGGTGGCTCCGGTTCCTCTGGCACAGGTGACGCGACGGCTTGCTTTCGCCTGGTCGGTTTCCTCACTGCTGGCGCGGGCGGAGGGGTCTCCTCCTCGTGTATGGGCTGCTGCCTCGGTGGTGACGGCGCGCGTTTCCGGCCGCCGGCCGCCGCCTTCGGCCGCCCCGCAGCCCTCCTCACGGGTGCGGGTGCAGGTGCCGGGCTCGGTTCCGAGGTCGATGCCAAGGACGTCCTGGCGCGCTTCGTGCCTCTGGTGAATAGAAAGTCGCCATCCTGCTCGTCGTAGACTGCGGCATCTGCTGCGGTACCGGGTGGCGAGTTAGCTCTGCGACCTGACGCGTCTCGTTCGACCCGAGCGCTCCTTTTCCATTCCGTCGTCGCCATCCATATCATCCCTGCCCCTTCGTCATCGGCTTCCCCCGCTACCGGCTGTAACGTACCCGCAAGGCGCTTGCTGTACCGTCTCTCCGGCTGATTGCTCATGCTCAAATCCTCTAGCGGCTGGCGTGCACGTATGTAGGTCGTCATGGAAGGCGGGTCATCAGGCGCAAACACATCGATTCGGTTTCGGGTAGGGGACGATTCTCGGGGTGTCGGGATGGTGGCTGCCGCGTAGCCGGGCAAGTTTCGACGGTTGATGTTGTAACCGCCGGCCAGTAACGCCGAGTGGGAGGGGAAGGCTGTCGCGTCGCAAAAGGCTTGTTGACCGGGCCCCCCATGGACGAGGTACGTCCTTTTTTTCCTCAGCCCGTGGCGCCCCTCACTTGGACGAAATCCAAGACGCGTCAATTGCTGCAAAATCGCCCCGAGGCTCTCCGTCGCGCGACAGCGGTGTCGGTTGTCGTCCGTTGCGGCTCCGGGGTCCGTAAATGATGCTTCTCGGGGCAGCGTTTCGTCGCTTCGAGTGTCGTCGGGTTGGAATTACGCGGTGGAGTGTCGTCGCGCAAAGGGTGCTCGCTGCTTCCCCAATTGTTTACCTGGGAGCTGCTGGCCCGCCGCAAACCAAGGTTACCATCCACGATTCCCCACCCGCTCATAATCAGCTTTCATTGGCTCTCCAGCACCACGCTAATCCCGTTATAGACGCAACACAGATCAGTCGGCTGGCACAGATGGGTGGAGGCTTTTGTGACAGTCCAATGCCCATCAAATGAGCTTGTGGGAATTTCGACGCCAGCCGTTGTAACACGATCCAAAATCAGGCCCCATCTCAGAGCCTCATTCTCGTTTGCGGCGACCGAGCCCCAAGCGAGCGCAACCGCACCACGGCCCTAAAAGACACAAAAAAAACAATAAAAGCAGGAAAAATATCACAATTCCTCTCGGCTTTTCCTTCCCTTTCAAATTACTTAATGAAGGTCTCTTGTATTGCTAGGACTAAATGCGCAGTAACTAGTTGGTGCGTGTTTCTAACTAGTTTTGTGGTACAGAGTAGGAAACGAACCCCCTCGTACAGGACTCGTGAGGGCACGGACAGCCATATCATCCATCCATCGTCCTGACAAGAGTACTGGGACAATCCAGACCTCAACACCGCCGAATCCCAATAACTCCAACGAACTTATGATGCAGATAAGCAAAAGTCAAACCCTTTTGACACCAACCCAAAGCCAAACTCCATCCCCTCCCCATTCTCTTTTCTCGTGTATAAGACCGCGAACCCGAAAGAATACTTACAACCAGAACAAACAACCACCATTAGCAAAGCCCATCTGGATCCCGTGAGGAGCGTCGCACAAGCCGCCACGCCATGTTTCCCACCAAGCGACCAGGCGCTTATTGTTACCCATGCTGCACTGCACCGTTCCAATAACCTTCCCAAACCCGAGACCTGGGGTTTCGTTTGTTGTACATTTAGTGAAGCCTCTTACTGAGAGGCTTCCGCTCGCCTTCACTGTGTGGGAGACAAGCGTTCATGTCCCGAAGGAGTGTCGCTAGGGGCACGCGAATGTCTCGAGGCCGTGTCACTGGGGACATGTGAATGTCTCGAGTCCGCAACGCTGGGGGCATATGCATAGCCCGTTCCAGGACCTGACATTTTAGCCATGATCTCGAGCCCCCTGAGTGTTGTCTCGTCGAGGGCGGTGGCTTCGCTCTACGAGAACCGTCGTTGCCCGGCGGCCATGACCGGCTGGTTAGGTATCGATGCTGCCATGCCGTATGGGTTCATCTGCGCATTAAATGGCTCCATGGCTGCCTGCTGTTGCATAAAAGCGCCGTGGAGACCTTGCTGCTGCGTGACGGGACAGTCCTTGTGCGCCAGCAGCAGCGTTTTTAGGTTCACCACTTCTTCGCGGAGCTGCGCAATCTGCTGCGTCAACTGGTCGTTTTCTTGGCTGTAGATCTCTACTTTGGACTGGAGGTTGGCGAGCCATTGCTTTTTCCGTTGCCGGCATTTCAAGGCAGCAACACTACCAAGGGGCGTTAGTAAGCCAGTCGCAAAGCACTCGGGGGAAGACTCGAAATCTTACCGGTTGCGTTCCAAAAAGTTCTTCCTCTTCTCCTCGTCGGTCATCTTGGACTTTGTGTTGCCATCCTTATCCATTTTCATATCGTCGTCGTCGTCAGAGAAGTCTTCTTCAATCGGTGACTGCTGCGGTGGCGATGCGTTCATCTTGGTCTTCTTGGTCGCCGGGGGTTTTGCGGGCGCCTCCTCAACAGCCTTCCTTCTCCCGTTTGTAGCGGCGGGCGCCGTTATTCCGTTGGTCTTCTTCCCCTTGCCACCCCGGGTGCTCGGCCGGGCTTGTTCACTGTCGTCTGATGCCGCGCTCGCCCCTTCGCTTCCTACAGCTCGTTGTCTCGCAGCGTTGCCGTTGACTGTGCGCATCTGCGGGGATGTGTTTGCCGACGACTGGGTGGTCACTAGTGGGGGAGGATGGGCATGAACCGGCTGTTGAGGGGGCTGCACTAGAAAGTTGTTCTGGGCGGGTGCTCCGTTGCGACCATGAGCCAGCAGATAAAGCCCGTTAGCCGCGTCGTTATCGTGAGGATCAAACGGGCCTGAAGATGGCTTCGCATCTGGCTTGACAGAGCTTCCTTGCTCTATATTCTGCGGTTGCGATGTGACGGTCTGCTGCTGTTGCGGCGCTTGGGGTTGCAGTGGCGGGGGAGGTGGAGGCGCTTGTGCTTGGGGTTGAGGTGGCGGCGCTGGGCCTTGAGTCTGAGCCTGTGGCTGAGGCAGAGGTTCTCTCTTCGCGGCGGCAGCGCTGAGTGCTGTCCTGTGGAAGTCCAACGTGCTCGGGGTAGCGCCTCCTCCGCTGGCGATCGACGCGAAAAGTGCTGACGAGTTCGGGCTGGGGGCCGGGAACATGGACCCGCTACCACCCGGGGTGAGGCCTGTCCTTAGGGACGATTCGTTCGGCGTGGGGAAGCCGCCGCGCAGATGATGAGCGTCGCTAAAGTAATCATTGGCCGGGCCCGATAGCATCGCCGGGCTGAGGGGGCCGGTGCGCAACGAGCCGCCGCCCCAGTTGAATGGGGTGGCGCCGCTCCCAGGCAAAAGCGACGACGGGGAAGTCAGGGCGGCAACGGGCGGCAGCAGCTTGGTGCCACCTGGGGTCTCGGGCGGCGCGCCGCCAAACGACTGCTCGAACGGATTGGGTTCCAGACTCAAGGAGCCGCCTGTCTATGTGTTAAAACAGTCACTCACACTTCAAGAAACTTGAGTCGTGAGGAGGAAGCAGGGGAGTTTGTGATTTTGGCATAGGTAGGTGGCTGATGTTCTCATGCCTTCGAGGCCGCATCCAGCTGATTTGAATGTGACGACGGAGGGGTTTGGTTCGCAGGGGTGTGACTTGTACAAGACAGGACGAGGACGCGAAAAAGGCTGAGTATTATGCCGAGGCGTGGTGATGGCGATATCGCCGCTCTGGCGCACACAAGCTTCGTCGCTTGATCGAGAGGGTTTGGACAACGGGGCAACGGGAGATGTGCGATGCGGGACGGCAAAGGCTAACAGCAATAGAACGAATAAGTCGAGTCGTCACTTACCTTGGGGGTTTGGCTTAGGCGGCGATGCATTTTTTGTTGGGGGAGACGGCTTGGTTTCGCCGGCGACAGCCGTTGTGGTGGTGGTGGCGGTTTCGCTGCCAGCCATGACGCCGACTCTGTTCAAAATCGACAGCGACGAGGGCGTCGGTGGAGTGCAAGGCTTGTAAAGCCAAATACGGGAGACGGGAGAAAATCAAAAGTCAAACGCTAAATGAGGTCAGCGGAGTACAGAGGAAGGAGCCACTGCAACGCTAACACTGAATGCGCTCCCCTGGGTACAGTCGCGATGTGGTCGAATGGAGGAGAGACTGGGAAAACCGTATGGGGGAGGAATACGTCAGAGACCGGGAAAAAAAAGACAATGACGTGTGTGCAGGAGAGGGAGAGAAAAAGATAAAAGGAATTTCCAGGCCGTGGAACCAGCGGGCGCTGGGAAATTTGGCACTGGCCACCTTCAGACTAGTGTGTGGGGCAGCACCCACCCACCCATGACCGCACCCGTCGTCGGCCACGCCCACGACCGCGCGCGGCACCCCATCAACATGGAAGGGGCGGCCTCGCTGGGTCGCTAGCCGAGACAAGGTGGGAAACGGGCAGGCAGGTACGCACAAAGCAGCGCGCGCCACGGTGCTTTCCTTCCCCATCCACGGCTTCTGGGCCTGACCATGAAGCGAAGAACAAGGCGAGCACGCTCCCGCGGCCTGGAATTCGTGGCAGCCGATCGATCCCCTCCTTCCCTCCATCAACCCCATCCTGCTGCGAACCCCCAACCAAGCTGGAGTACCGTACCATTATAGTTGCCACATCCTGCCGCTCCAGACTCCAGACACAACAGGCGGGCGGCAGGTCCATACCCTCCCTTCCTCCTTCCCACTCTCTCGACGCACTCTCACCGTTCCTCGCCATCCCGGCCGACGACAGGACGGGGAGGCAGGAGGAAAAGCCTGCGTGTCGGTACACAGTGGCTCTCTCCCAAGGCCGGACTGTGGACGACCGACCGATCCACCCACTCCCAGCAGAGTAGGATTGCTTCGTTGGTTCAAACGTTGGACGTCGTCCCTCCCCCTTCCTCGGGGGTCCTGCCATTCGGGTGTTTGGCCCGCTCTGCTCTTGCCCGTCGTTCTGCGGGTACGAGGGAAAATTCGACGTCCAAAGGGGTCTTTTTTTTTTTTTTTTTGCTATGGGGCACGCATGGGTAATTTCTGCACCGAGGGTTGGGTTGGGACAGATTACGACGTCAACGCTGCTCGAATCGAGGATTGCCGGGGGAAGTCGTGGGACCTCTGAGCAATCATCCCTGACTTGGGCGGGAAGCACGCACGGCTCAGGGAAGGGCAATAACAGCCCACGGACCCGACGCAAAAAGACCCTGGGCTACGTGACTGCCCACGGTGAGGAGAACCGGAAGCACTGCACGGATGCCGGTCCCGACTCGCTGGAGCTCGCTGTTTACCAAGATTTTTTCATGCTACCCAACCCCTGACACGGAAGGGAAGAAGCAATTGCCCCATACGCAGAATCCAAAGCAAGGAATCACGCGAACGGCTTCTCTCCGCCTGTCAATGCGTCCGCAAAGACAGGCGCGCGCTGCACGCAACGGCCCAAGCATACTTTGGCCACCGGACGTATTATTAATGCCAGGAGCACACCTCCTAATCGCCGAAAAAGCTCCGTTTTTATCGTGTCTAGACTCGTCGGGCCGCATAGTGCTGTACGATGTGACGCCGTGCGAACGACGAGTAGAGAAGAGGACGAGCCACAAGAACGAAAACAAAGGGCGAGGAAGGGGGAGTGACCAATGTCGAACGAGCAAAAGAGTGCAGCGTGGTTGGGAGACTCCTCGAAAGATTGCCGTCCTGCGTCCCGGTCGAATCAGGAGGCGAGTGCCCATCCGCGTTGACACCCTCCCCACTCTTTCGCTTGCAATTCCGAAGTTGCTCTGGCGCCATCCCAATCCCAGTCTTTTCTTTTTTCCCTCCGCCGGTCTGCTGCCTCCGCAGTCGTGTTCCCACCAAGCCAAGGTTCGTCCGAGGAACCCTCGAGCCTCCCTCCCCATTCGTCCTCTCTTTGCAGACGCGACGAGTCAAACATCCAACGTTGGTGGCCACGTTGCGGTATTTGCAGCATCGGGCTGTTTACCGTTTGCAAAATTCGACAAGTCCAAAAGCATCTCCCTCCCGTCAGTAGTGTGGAATTTTGGCGCGGCTAAGGCCTGATGGTGCGAATACCAGAGGCAACGTTATTTGCCCCGGCTTAGCCTATGACGTAACCCCGTCGCAACATGGAGCGCCCTCGTGCGTCACCATAAGCTCCGCTCCGATAGCAAACGTTTCCCACAAAAACAAAGGCTAGCGCGGTCGCGATACATACAGTATTATTCAGCAATCTCTGGGTTGTGTATATTTCTTTTTCTTTACAAACAGACTATTTGGCTGTTTGGATAGTGGACTTGCTCTGGTGAATGGTTCAATCAAAAACAGGGGAAATGATGCAATGCGTGATGATGGCGGGAGGAAATGGAGGTGGATGGGGGTGGGCTCGGAAACCCGCTACTGAATGCAACCAGCCCGGCACTGTGCCGCAGAAGAAGCTAGCGACCACACTATGACGCATTGCGACATGCCAAAATGCGGTGGGGCAGGCGACTGATTCGACGCCACAGAATGGAACAGTCCAAGCTGGCGCACTGGCCAGGCATTCATGTTCCTCCCCTACAACCCCCCTGGGGTCAGCGGCACGCACGCGTCTTTGCTTCTTTGCCAGGACGCGCTCGGCCGCACATTCGTCTCTACTCACCCATAGCGCGTCTGCTATCGATGCTCACCCATGGCGTGTCTGCTATCGATGATGGGCATTCCCGATCATTGGACACGCCGCACCACAGTGCCCGGAATGCAGCGGCACTTGGCGAGTACGCCGATACAACCCAATCCGAAGCTCACGTCTTGGCAGAAGCGGTACAGTAGATTGCGAAGGCCGTTTCCCTGGATCGAGGTTCCGGTGCCCCATCGAGGCTCTGTAAACATTGCTATACCATGTGACCATGCGGCGAAAGATGGCTAGGTATACATGTTCGCCGCACTTGGTTGATCTAGACTCTTGGGGCCCGATCTTGGCCGAGGAGCGTTGCCTCGTTCAACGTTCAACGTCACGAGTCGCGATTGAGCCTGGCTGTACATATCCGTCCTCTTGAGAGCCGTTGAGTGCCAGATCCAAGACATGCATGGTAATAATAAAAAAACGGTGGTTGGATCAGAGCAAGATCTGCGGGCGGGAATCTAACGGCACTCGAGGGATGTCCTCGCGTAGATACCCAGCCCATTGGAATACTGCAACAAAGTAGGTACCTAGAGGCTTTGAAATGCAATCTGCCGTCTGCCCACCCACTCCCTAGAGACGGCCGGTCTCCTGTCCCGCCACCGGCCGCACCCTAAAGCCGTGGCGGGGCGCGTGCAGCCGCACGCCAGCCTCCCCGCCGGCCAGGGTGGTCTCGATGACGATCTCGTCGTGGTCCAGCCCCACGAGCCGGCCGGTGTCGCGGTGGTTGACGCCCGTGTCGGTCGGCCAGAGCCTCACCGCGACCCCCTTGGCGACGCCGCCGTCGGCACCGCAGTACTCCGGGCCGGCCGTTGCGCCCTCGGCGTCGTCGTGGAAGCGCGAGCCCAGGATCAGCGCCGCGGCCTGCCCTCCGCCCAGCGTCTCGGGCCTGGGCGCCGTCGCCTTGGTCGCGCGCACCGCCCTGTCGAACCGGTCGATCCAGGCAAAAACACGTGGGAAGACGGCGGCCGAGACCTGGTCCGGCGGCAGCGCCTGCTGCGGCAGCGTCACGAGCCAGTGGAAGGGCCACACGGCCTCGATGTCTGCGAGGCTGGGCCCGCTCGTGTTCAGTATCCAGTCCCCTGCATCGTGTTGGTTTGGTGACGTCACCAGTCAGCACACACACACACACGTCTTTGCAGTTGCTTTCCGCTGGATGACCTAGAAGAGCGAGCATTGTTTGCAGGAGGTGGGGAAACAACATACTCCCATCCGCGAGCAAGGTCGTCTCGAGCACCTGCATGACCTCCCTGAAGCGGTGGACCGCCTCGGCCTTGGACGCCCACCCGCCCGGGGGCGCGCCCACAAAGTCGGCCCGGTCCCTCTGGAACTCGGGCTCCCTGAGCATGGGCAGCTTGTCCTCGGGTAGCAGGCGGAAGGCCGCGAGGAAGATGTCGGTGTCGAGCGTCAGCGCCGCCAGCAGGCGCCCCACCCCCCTCGACTGCGGGTCCGCCGCGCCGAGCCTGGGGAGGGACCGGTGGGTGTCCTCGAGCTTGGCCAGGATCAGGCGCGTGTCCAGGTAGACGTCGCGACCGATGGCCATGACCGGGATGCGCCGGTGCTTGATCCCCAGCTGGGCCAGGTCAGGCCGTGGCATTGTGGGCGGTTGGATCTAGAGGAATCAAGGTAGACATCCATGTCGTCATTTAGACAAAGCTGCCCTGCTCGTGAAAGATGCCCCCTCCGCTGTGGGTGGCGCCACCATGAATGACCCAGCCATCTTCCAGGCGGGCTCGGGAATGCATCCTGCTGGCAATACTGGCGAGACTCACGCATTGTTTATATGGTATGCCGCGAAGCGACAGGTACCACAGCACCCGCCGAGCATAGGGCGAGAAAGGGTAGTGGTAGAGGACTATGGGTAGCTCCGAGTCTGCCATGTTGAACTTGATGACTGTCCGAATATGGTGGTGGTGGTTTTCGTTATGCCCGAGTGTGCAGTCTGCGATGGTGGATGAAAGCGATCATGCAGTCGGGGAATTCAAGTGTCTTGCAGGTTGAAATACAAATATTCTTCTATCCAAGGCTGGCCATCATGAGCCGTTACCGAATGGAGTTGTAATGTGTGGTGGCAGTCATTTGCGGCTGATATTCGCTGCATTCTCAGCAAGTGGTTGATCCTGCCCAATGCTCGATACCCTATTCTGGCTATCCGCAGCCCGGAGCGGGGACGCAATTTACCTCGGCAAAAACGGCGCTATGACAGGGTAGGTGCCGAGGACGACGCCATGATTAGAAGGGTGTACACCCACAGGATATATTGATTAGTAACGCACATGGTATTGACTTGGAGAAGACAGTATTGGTGCCTGTGTTATTGCACTTGTATGGATGCCGAGGTATCGGATTCTCGCGAACTGATTATGTGTTGCTTCGGTTGTAGGATAGCCATTGAAGCCTACGATAGACGTGGTTGTTGGAGAATGAATGGTGACATTGGAGATTCGGTATGGACGAATACCGAGCGTCATGTCCCATTCCGATCACATGCATCCAGAAAGAGGAAAAGAACAGAGAAACAACAAAGACGACAAATAAGGGCCTCGCATCCAGTCATGTGGAAAGCAAAGATTACCATCACCGACCCTTGAATACCACCACCGCCTAGAAGGCCTACGGCGCGTCAGAGTGGCATGGCGCTTCGCCGCCTAGCAAAGGGGCTCGTGATTGTTTTCCATATCCCTCGCCTGCTCCTCATGGCCGCTCCCGTCTGCGCTTTCATGTTCAGCATTGCGGCCATTTCTGCCTCTTCCCTCTGTTCTCTGCTCAGAAGCCTGAGCCGGAGTATTTCATGTCCGATGGCCGGGAAGATGGCGGCAACACTTTATATCGAGTCAGTGGCTGTATAGGGTTTGTGACGTGGGAAAGGAAGAGCCCCAAGAACTCGAAGCTGGATGAAGGAAGTGAACATGATGCAGACCCAAAGACTCACTTTTCGCCGGTCCTGGCGCTGGCTTCCATGAAGCCGCACTCCATATCGAAGGAAACAGCGACCACTTTGCCGTCAGTCGCGGGAATGACCCTTCCGGTCTCGCCACTAGTGTCGCTCTTGTTGCCCACGAGCAGCAGGCCGTACTCGCGGGGGCCGACTGCGTCCTTGATGTAGTGCTGGATGCGGGCCGCGAGGGCAAGCGAGGTGCGGTCCGTCACGTCGTAAACCAGGACAGCCCCCTCAGTGATGTTGAGGGCGTTCTGCAACATCACGTCGGCCGAGAGGTGCCTGCCCGGCAGCTCGAGCACGTCGGCTGCGTAGTTCTGGCCGCCGACCTCGACGAGGCGCCGGCAGCCGCCCTCGAAGGAGGAGTCGGCCGGCCCAGCGTCTCCGCGGAACGCATCTGTGCAGAACTGCAGAGGACGACGGGCGCGGAAGGGCTGGGTTAGCGGTAAAACTGATCCGGGGGCGGGCTCCGCTGGAGATGATATCCCAGGGATGGCCCCTGGGCCGTGATATGACAAAACATGGGAGGTGGGAAGATGCTTGAGCGCAGGCAGGCGGACGAACCCTGGTCAGAATGCTTGTCTTACCGCACCCCTCGGCTCCGACGACGAGGATGCGCAGGTCCCCCACAGGCTTCTTCATCTCATCCTGATTTTCGGTCAGGGCAAGAGTGCTGTTTCTCAAAGACGCTCTTTTGTGGTCGGGTTTCGCCTGCCATGTGAGTATGGCCCTCAGATACCTGGTCTCTTCCTCTGTCCATTGCATTGACCCCACCATGGCGGGTAGGTTTCTGCCGTGACCGAAGGGCTGCTCCGCCAGTGTCAAGAATATGTGACTGGAGTTTGACTTGTCTCCCTGGGGTCGATGCTGTCCGTCCCAGTTTCACACACAAGGGAGGAAAGAGAGAGAGAGAGGATGAGCGATTTCAAAGGCCAGAACGGAACAAAGACAATGAGTGGTGACCGTTCTTCTTGGGAAACCCACCACAATAGCATGCGCCCAAGGAAGCGTACATGGTATTATAATGGCATGGTGAGCAAATCAGGCTAAGAGAAGGAGCCTGATCTGTTGTGATCGGCCACCTTCCGCTCATGGTATCTTTCCCCTCGTGTCCGTCTGTCCCGCCTGTTCGGCATTAGAGCTTTGTGGACTGTGGTATCACCAGGTGAAGGAAAGCAAAGGTCGACGCCCGTAAAAGGAGCCGCCAAGGTGAAATTGCCTGGCTCGGGCAGATGATGAAATCCTGTCGAACGACGAACAAGTGTCACCGGAGGGCGGGAGACGACTGGCTGGCGCTACGGACTGGGCTCGCCCTCTGCCGGCGAGCCCGTGAACGGGCGGGTTCTTTGGTGGCATCTCGGGGCCCCTGAATGGAAGCACGGCAATAATGGGCATCCAGGGACCCAGGGGACGTCCGTCATTTGACCTGATGTCGTGCATGCTGCCTCTACCCGATACGTCCTCTGCTAATATCACGCCCGGCGGCCGGACCGGCCTGATCATCAGGTGCAGCTGCAGCTGCACCTTTCCTGATACCATCGCTTCTGCGCGGGCATGGGCGGCCAGACTACTGGACCGTTAAACGAGGCGAGATGACGCGCGCCGTTCGCATACATTTCCGGATGGAACGGCACCTGCAGGGACAGGACGGCTAGGTAGGTACGCTGGCGAGCTGCAACCACGTCTGGCGTGAGCTGTCACTCGGTCTGGCGGGAGGCTCTAACATGGTGTCATAGAAACTGGTTGGATGGGGCGTGGGCACGGCTCCGTCCAATATCCGTGTGAAGAGACGGGGGATCGCGTCGAGCAGTCTGGGACGAGGGCCGCGACGAAGGGGTGGACCCTGATATTGATACGTGTGGTCGCATTGACATGCATTGAAATGGAAATTTGCCGACCCGGCAAAGGCCGCGACCACGTTGGCTGCCCTGTTTGTCAAGGATCCGTTGCTCGTCCCATTGACTCGGGCTCGGTTCCCTCCGTGAGCACCTTTCCACTTCATCGCACTCTGCCTTGCTTTGCCTTGCCTTGCCTTGCTTTCTGAGGCAGCAATTGCGACTCCACACGACGGGGGCGGTTGTGCAAGATGCGCACATGCACACACTACTATCGCTGCCACCACCGTTACCTTGATTGGGTCCCATGCTATCGTCAGACAGAAACTGGGGTCGCTCTCTGATGGGAACTTGTTCAAGTCGGAGAAACAAGGAACGGAACAGCCTACCTAGGGTAGGTGGGAGGCGGGTGCGGGTACTTGCAACCCCAACAGCCCCAGCCTCCATCCTCACGACGCGGTCTGGCTCTCATCTCCCCACCGCTGCGATACTTCACTACTCGTGCTCTCAGATTTGTCTCCCCGCCGACAGCGAATGCATTCCTTGCCGGTGGGCCGTCAAATCTCGTCCGCGGAGTGCCTGGATGCGAGTCTGGCAAAAGTACGGAGGTGTGAGGGTTAAATAATCTACAGTGGGGAGGTCACTCGTGAAGCGAGGGCAGGGGCCAGGGGTATGCACTAGCCAATCGATTAAAATGCGTGCGGGCGGATTCGAATTGGTGCTGCGATTGATGTTGAAAAAGAAATGCAGGCTAGGCCTTATTTGGTAGGGGCTGAACATAGGGTGCTCTTGGCGCTACCTCGAAAATGGCGATTTTTTTCGCCTCCTATCTCCGTACCAGCGAGATCCAGTCACCAAATTGTCACGTCTCCGCTGGTAAAAAGGTTGACCTCTGGCCATTCTAACGAGTCCTGCCCTGTAAGCGGATCCCATCAGACGGCCGCCCCAAGCAACACCCAACAACCCCCTGGTAACACCCTCCGATGCGAAGCGGCGGCCCCTGTTGCCAATAATAGCGGCCGTTCACCAGAGCGTGATTGGCTGCGCAATGGATAACTGGGCCCGGGGCTG